AAAAAAAAAAAAAAAAAAATCACAAGGTGTTTGTTTCCTATCATAGTCTTAGTGGGTCAGTCATCTCTCTTCCGTGGCTCTCCTTCAAGCAGTGACTTAAATTTCTAGGCTCCTTCTATCTGTAAGGTCACCATCCTAAAACTATGACCTTTGGGTCACTGTGGAAGGGGAAGAAAATTGAGGCAATCGCACAGTGGTGGAAGGGGGAAGGGAACGTTTTATGGCAGGCCTGGAAATAGCATATATTATTCCACATCCTATTGTCCAGGATTCAGTGACATTCCCCTAATGCAGTTGCACACGAGGCTGGGAAATGTAGAAATCTGGTATACCTAAGGAAAATGAAATGGAGTTTGGGGAACACATAGCATTGTCTCTGCCTCAGTTGAAAGGCAACTTCTTGGACAGAAAAGTGAAGAGGTACAAACTACAACTATGTTGTGACTAGCTACAGTTTCATACAAAATGTAAAATGTCCCTAATTCAGTATGTACTCTCCCTCTTCTACATAAGGAATTATTAGGGCTTAGCAGCTTCCAGATTGCAGTAGATCTAGTCTTAGAGCCAGTGGTCAAAGGAGAATGGGATTACTAAATTGTCTTCATATTCCCATAATTGAATGGCACCCAGGTACTACTTCTATGGGTTCTTAATGTTTTACCTTTATCTTCAAGAATTCGTAGATCATCTTCCTGTATCCTCAGTGCATGTTAAGATTACTAAACTTGGCCAGGCACGGTAGCTCATGTCTATAATCCCAGCACTTTGGGAGGCCAAGGTGGGTGGATCACTTGAGGCCAGAAGTTCAAGACCAGCTTTGCCAAAATGGTGAAACTCCATCTCTATTAGAAGACCCAATCCAAAAAAATATTTGCTGGGCCTGGTGACTCCCACCTGTAATCCCAGCTACTCGGGAGGTCAAGGCATAAGAATCACTTGGGGGGCTGGAGCGATGGCCTGGGTCTGGAGCCCGCTGTGTCCCCAAGGCCCAGACAGCGGGTCGGGGGTCTAGTAGGCGTGGGACTGGCTTCTCTCAGGCCGACCCTTCGAGCCAGGCTCCAGATCTTCCTCGGCCTCGGGCCTCCTTCATGTTCAGGATGGAGGCCAGAGAACAGTGATCATCACACACCCCATCCGGCTTCCTGGGCCGGGCATTTTCTCTGCGGCCAAGCGGTGTTGGGATTGTAGCTGCTGGGAGCCCCCTCCTGCCGCCACCTGTCCTGCAGGAAGGGACTGACACGTTCCCACATTCTTGCTCTGCACCTCCCCACTCTCTTCCCATTCAGGAACAAGTTTCTCTTCCTTCCCCATTGGAAATCCTCCCCCGGAGGTCCAAAACACCTATTTTAAGTGTGCCCTTCCTCAGCTCCTGGAGCACCCTTAGAAGTATTGCCTACTTATCCGGGCTGAGAATCCTTCATTTTTGAGTTGGCTTTTTTTTCACCCTTTGGAAGATAAAAGTCCCTTTCCACCCTCTACTAACACTCTGCACCCAAGGCCTTATCCTTTGGGGTCACCAGCTTCTTGGCCATTTCTATGTGATTTCCCCCACCCATCTGAGTTCCAGTTTCCTCTGGGCTCCAATCTCCAGTCCCTGGCGGATCTGGTCAGTCCCACCCCTAGGTGGGAGTGACCAGGAGGCTCTGGCCCAGGATCCCCAACCCTGGAAGGCAGCTCCAAGGCAGGAAGAGAATTGGGCATTGGGTAGGAACCTGGCAGCTTAGGAGTCAGGGCTCCACTCACCCCACACCAAAAGATGAAAAAGCGCAAAGAGCTCAATGAATTGATTGGTTTGGCTGGGGACAGCCGGAGAAAGAAGCCCAAGAAAGGCCCAAGTAGTCACCGTCTGCTTCGCACTGAGCCTCCTGACTCAGACTCTGAGTCCAGCTCCAAAGAGGAAGAGGAATTTGGTGTGGTTGGAAATCGCTCTCACTTTGCCAAGGGAGACTATTTACGATGCTGCAAGATCTGTTATCCGCTCTGTGGTTTTGTTGTGTTGTGGCCTGTGTTGGCTCGGTGTGGATGCAGGTTGCTCTCAAGGAGGATCTGGAAGCCCTCAAGGAAAAATTTCGAACAGTGGAGTCTAATCAGGAAAGCTCATTCCAAGAAATCCCCAGACTTAATGAAGAACTACTCAGCAAGCAAAAACAACTTGAGAAGATTGAATCTGGAGAGATGGGTTTGAACAAAGTCTGGATAAACATCACAGAAAAGAATAAGCAGATTTCTCTGTTGACTTCTGCAGTGAACCACCTCAAAGCCAATATTAAGTCAGCTGCAGACTTGATTAGCCTGCCTACCACTGTAGAGGGACTTCAGAAGAGCGTAGCTTCCATTGGCAATACTTTAAACAGTGTCCATCTTGCTATGGAAGCACTACAGAAAACTGTGGGTGAACACAAGAAAACGATGGGATTACTGCAGAGTGATATGAATCAGCACTTCTTGAAGGAGACTCCTGGAAGCAACCAGATCATTCCATCACCTTCAACCACATCAGAACTTGACAATAAAACCCATAGTGAGAATTTGAAACAGATGGGTGATAGATCTCCCTCTCTGAAAAGAGCGTCTTTGGATCAAGTCACCAACAAAACAGATACGGTAAAAATCCAAAGCATAAAGAAAGAAGATAGTTCAAATTCTCAGGTATCCAAGCTAAGAGAGAAACTCCAGATGATCAGTGCTTGTACAAACAAACCTGAGAGCAACAGGCCTCCAGTGACCGCCGATGAAGAGCAAGTACAGAGTTTCACATCAAAGCCATCAGCATTGCCAAAATTTTCACAGTTTCTTGGAGATCCAGTTGAGAAAGCTGCCCAACTAAGACCTGTCTCTCTACTAGGAGTTTCCAGCATTGAAGATCTTCAGGATTTATTCCACAAGACTGGCTAGGACATGGATGGGAAGCTGACCTACCAGGAAATCTGGACCTCCCTAGGTTCTGCTATGCCAGAACCAGAGAGCTTGAGAGCATTTGATTTTGATGGAGATGGGAGATACTCATTTCTGGAGCTAAGGGTAGCTTTAGGTATCTAGCCTCATCAGGCATATTTTAGAAATGGACTGCCTAATATCTACTTACCTAACAACAAAACAACCCTTACTTACCCATCAGTCCTCTAGTCCTCCAAACTACTGTAGCAGATACTTTGCCACCTTTTAACTTGTTTGAAGAAGCTATATAAAAGTTATTTTTTTAAAGAAGAAGACCATTTTACTTACGATGTTCAGAAATCTATGATTTCCTAAAACTAGTAAGATCTTACATTTTAAAATTGCCAGAAAAAAAAATTAAAGCCCTCTTT